CAAGAAATCTACGTTTTATGCATGATTTAATCGAGATATATGGGTTCAAAATAAAAATATATGCATTGCTATATACCGTTGGCATCTTTCACAGAACAGCTGGACCATGGTATCTTCGCTAAGATATTCGTTTTTAAGTAATTTCAAAAATATATCCTGAGCGATCCTATGAGGTAAATTTTAATTACTTTATATTTAATTGGGTGAATGACAGAAATTGTCAAATTTATGCATACTCTGTTTGTTGCGGGGTTGTGGTCCGGCCAAAGTAATCGAATCCTATGTCGAACCATTTATAAACTTGAGTGTGAATGGCGTAATATTTATCACAAAGTTCCTGGCATGTAATGCCTTCTTCTAGTGCCTTAGTCTCTGTGGCGGTTCCGTATTCGTCGGTTCCGCAAATATAGAGAGTGTTATAATTACGAGCACGAGCATATCTAAAGAAAATAAAAATCGTTCTCAGAGGTGCTGTAAATAAAGAATTTTTGTAGATCCAGTAAATAATACCTGGCAAAGATATCTGCACTCAATACACTTCCAATAATGTTTCCCAAATGAGGAATATTGTTAACGTAGGGTAAAGAACTGGTGATTAATATGTTTCGCTCTCCAGGAATGGGAAGTCTATAGAAATTTACGCATTAAATGTAATTGTTTCTAGACATTTTTCAAACACTATAATGTACCTCAAGAAACACACTTAATTCCGTCTTTCTCAAGAACGAGGGCAACATTTGGATTTACTTTTCGTACCTTGGGATCAAGAGAAGGATTAGCCATCCTATGACTTTTAGGCCCGGTCTTAGAATCAGGCAGTTTCAAAGGGATATCTCACGTTACACGACCTTGTTTGATAATCTGACTACTGACTAGTTATATCTACATGTGGCTTTATTAGTTCCGTTATTCATATTATTCGCTGTTTTCAAGAGAAAATCGCATAATCAACATGTTTTGTAATTTAAAATTTTAGATTTTAAATAAAAACAAAAAAATTATTTTTTTTTATTAAATAAAAAATCGGTAAAAATTCAAAAATGTAAATTTTAGATTAAAAATATTTTATGATAAAAAATTACATAATATAATATTTTCTTTTTAATATTAATATATTTTTTAGAATATATTAAAATTTGTAATAAGAATAACGAAGATAAAATTTTTTTACTAATTTAAAATGTACTTGTACTATTAAAATGATAAAAATAAATAATTTTTTTTAAACATTTGATTAATACTTAATAATATTTTGATTTAATAATTATAAATAATTATAATAATAATAATAACAATTTATTTAAATTTTAAATTTTAAATTTTGAATATATTATAAAATTATGTTTTTATAAATAAGGTATAATATATTCATTCCATTCTTATTTTTTTATAATAACATGTAAAAGTTGTCATATTGATAAATTTATTATATTCATATTATATTTATTTTTTATACATTTAAAACTTTATATCCTTTGATTATCAATCAATATACTGTAGCTAATTAAAAAATTTTGTATTATTTCTTTAATTAAGAGTTTATCTATAATATATTAATGAAATTTCAATTGCCATATTTTATATTTATATTAAAATAGTCTCCTATTATAATGGTAACATTCATTTGAAGTAAGGTCATAAACCTAGATTATCATGGGCTAGATTTTCGCTTAAATTATGATTTTAATAAAAGATGTTGCGATCTAAATATATTATTACATAACTAAATAAATTAAAAATATTGATTATTTTTTTATTAAATAACATGAGAATAACTCAAGGAATATACGAACTCATAATTTTATTCCAATATTATGTGTACAATTTACTATCTTTCGTATAATAGATTTTTTTTTTTATTCTTTGAAGGAAATGCATTTCTTTTTTTTACTAGAAGATTTAAAGGAATTCAACATTTTTATGATATCTGCTTGCTTCATTGAAGCTTCATCAACACAAATAAAATAAAATATAAGTTATACAAACAGCCTTTCTTGAACATCTAAACTATACTAAATTTTTCTGATTCGGATATATCAACATACAGGACATGATCGATCAAATAAATAACATGAAGAACTTCTATGGTTTATAAACAATCATAACTATATTCTCAGCAAAAACTACAAAATAAATAAAAAAGAACTTATTATTCTTCATATCTTTTTAAGGCTAAATCAAGAGAATTAACAACTTAAATGAAAAATTATTATAAGACTACTTTTTATTATGCAGAGGAGAATACATTGGGTTTAACAAAGAATTAATTACATATTGCCAAATTGCTTTTGAAGCGTACACCTTTTTAATGCAACTTACATTTCAAGTGTGTTTCTCATTTAATATTCTTTCAAAGATAATCTTCATTGCAATGGTAATTGCCATATATACTAAAATAAAAATAGGAAAACGAATGAAATAATAATTAATTAATAAATAAAAGGATCGAATTAAAACATTCCAATAATCTAAAAGAAATTCTTATCAAGATATCTATGCTGAGTCATATTGCCTAAATATCCATTAAACAAACTTTAAACTTTGTATTTGATCAAGCATACATTCCAATATCCGATCCAGGAATCTCTGCATTGAATAACTGCTTACACTTTAAATCAAAACTCGAAAGTAAAGATTTTTCAATTTTTCATAAAACAAATGTGGTGAGACTAAAGTTAAATTTATTGACTTTATCTTACTTTCGTAAACTTATTGGCATTCCATGAAATTATCCAACATAACACGACACTCCTATTTATTCAAGTTTTTGACTATCTTTGTACTTCTATTATATTTTTTTAAAAAATAAAGAATAAGATTTTTATTAACAGTATTAATTTTTTGTAGACAAAATATAACTCATGAAAAATTTAAAAATATACCGGTATTTATACAGCCGCATCTGTTTCTGTTTTCCATGCGTGAGCGTACTTAATGTTATAAATAATTAACATGTATATTTCGAGCGAATAATAATATTATATAATAAAAAAAAATCTTCACACAAATCCTATTAACATTTATTCAAGGCACCTGTAGTCAAATGGACACTAATGAGAAAAAATTATGAAATAAATATTGTACAAGTTAACTAAAATGTTCTGAAAATTTCACAGACTGCAGCACAATTATGAAATGAGGTAATGTTTTATGCAATTTACGTTTAACTCCTGTTTACTTGATTTAACAATTCCTGACGGTATGTGGTTGTGGTTACAGGGTTATGTCTTCAAATTGTAACGTCTAATTCTCCAAGTTGGTAATTTTTGCATTTTATACATTAAAAAAGTATGAAAGTGCATAGTATTTGAAAGCAATAAAAATATTAAATAAACCTGCAGAAACGAAGTCAGAGGTAAAGCCACGTATTGAAGCACAGAACAAACATCACTTGAAGTAGGGATGAAATAATATCACGTGAATAAATTAGTACTTACTGACTTACTGTATGTCATCTTGAATCTTTCCAATTCATCCAACCTTTGATAAAATGCAACGTTATACAAAATAATGATAATAATTTTTTTTAACGCGAATTTTCAAAGTAAAAAACGGACCGACGCGTTTCCAGATCCGTCAGTCTTTTCCCTTTCTCTAATCAGAATCGATAACCAGTTTAATAATTACTATGCCATTTTATGATAGGGCCCATCATAATTTAAGATAATATTGGTTTTGATTTTACTTCCTGGTTGGTTGCTCTATACTATAAAATATCCTTTCCTCCCCTTCCCACTAGAGTTTTAATACTCCCAAAATAAAATGTTCGATTTTCCGCCTGTAAAGCTATGTTCGTTTGGCTTCTCGTTTATATATATATATAATTCGGGAGTAGCATTATAGTAGCAATGTAAACGGCCCGTTGCGTTACTATTAATATTATTTATAAAAAGTGCGAAAATAAAATGCAAATAAAGGGATAAAGGGGGAGGAACCCTATGATACTGGAAGTGATCACGTGCAATTTATAACTGAGAAATCATATTGCTTAGTCAAGTTCGTACGATAGCAGTTAAATTGTTTTAATTGTAAATTGGTATTTATTTATAATAAATTTACAACTTACAATATAAATAAAGTATCACATAATTAGTCTATTTGATTGCTAATAATTTTGAAACAACCGACTTAAGCTTGATCATTTTCGTTAAAATAAACCCCCGAGTCTTCATCGGCACCTCTTTGCCTTAAGAGGCGTATATTCATTGAACTTAAACCTTTCACGTCTTGAATACATGCTTTAGAAATCCATAATATATTTTGACGTGAAGTCCAATGTAAAGTGACTTGTGACGTTTTATTATATATTCTTTTTACATGCCACAAACGAATAACTCCATCAAAACCACCTGTCAACAGAAAATCTCCCGCTATTGTATTCTTCCAATCAAGACTATTAATTATTCCGGGAAAGTAAATAATAGCTACGCAGTTACCAGATGTCGTAGACCACAGCCGCACCGTCTTGTCTGAGCTGCCCGATGCCAGTTGGGTGCCATCAGGTGAGAAGGTCACACTATTAACGCTATGAGTATGTCCTTTCATAATATGTGGTTTCAGATCTAAATTCTCGAGTGACCACAGCCGCACCGTATTGTCTGAGCTGCCCGATGCCAGTTTGGTGTCATCAGGTGAGAAGGTCACGCTATTAACCCAATTAGTATGTCCTTCTATAATGCGTGGTTTCAGATCTAAATTCTCGAGAGACCACAACCGCACCGTATTGTCTGAGCTACCCGAAGCCAGCTGCGTGCCATCAGGTGAGAAGGTCACACTCAAAACTTTATCTGTATGTCCTTCTAGAATGTGTGGATTCAGATCTAAATTCTCGATCGACCACAGACGCACCGTCATGTCTGAGCTGCCCAATGCCAGTTGGGTGCCATCAGGTGAGAAGGTCACACTATCAACCCGCTTAGTATTTATTTCTAGAATGCGTGGATTCAGATCTAAATTCTCGACAGACTCCAGCAACACCATATTGGCCCGAGATGATTTCAATGCCGATGCCGATGCCGATGCCAATTCCGATGCCAATTCCGATGCCGATACCGATACCGATGCCAATGCCAATTCCGATGTCAATTCCGATGCCGATGTCAATTCCGATGCCGATTCCAATTTCAATGCCAATACCAATAATGATTTCAATGCCGATACCGATGTCCGTACCGATACTGATGCCTGTGCCGATGCCGATGAAAATTCCGATAACAATGCCGATACTGATGCCGATACTGATGCCGATACTGATGCCAATGCCAATGCCGATGCCAATTCCGATGCAAATGCCGATGCCGATGCCGATGCCAGTTGGGTGCCGTCCGGTGAGAAGGTCACACTATTAACGCTATAAGTATGTCTTTTCATAATATGTGGATTCAGATCTAAATTCTCGAGTGACCACAGCCGCACTGTCTTGTCATCACTGCCCGATGCTAGTTTAGTACCATCAGGTGAGAAGGTCACACTCCTAACGGTTTTAGTATGTCCTTCTAGAATGCGTGAATTCAGATCTAAATTCTCGAGTGACCACAGCCGCACCGTATTGTCATAGCTGCCCGATGCCAGTTGGGTGCCATCAGGTGAGAAGGTCACACTATTAACGCTACTAATATGTCCTTCTATAATGCGTGGTTCTAAATTCAAATTCTCGAGTGACCACAGCCGCACCGTATTGTCTGAGCTGCTCGATGCCAGTTGAATGCCATCAGGTGAAAAGGTCACACTTGTAACACAACTAGTATGCCCTTCTAGAATGCGTGGATTTAGATCTAAATTCTCGAGTGACCACAGCCGCACCGTATTGTCATAGCTACCCGATGCCAGTTGGGTGCCATCAGGTGAGAAGGTTACACTACAAACAGCATCATTGTGTCCCTCTATAATGCGTGGATTCTGATCTAAATTCTCGAGAGACCATAATCGTATCGTATTATCCCAGCTGCCTGATGCCAGTTGGGTGTTATCCGGTGAGAAGGTCACACTATTAACTTTCCTGGTGTGTCCTTCTAGAATGTGTGGATTTGGATCTAAATTCTCGAGTGACCACAGCCGCACCGTATTGTCCGAGCTGCCCGATGCCAGTTGGGTGCCATCAGGTGAGAAGGTCACACTATTAACCCAATTAGTATGTCCTTCTAGAATGCGTGGTTTCAGATCTAAATTCTC